TTAGGGTTCAGCTTGGGTTAATCAGAGTTTTCCAACTAGGCCTCATTTTTCAGGGTTTAGGTTTCAGGGTTAGGTTTCAAAGTTTATTTGTCGGGGTGTTGGGTCATCCTTAGGATTCACGTCTAGGCTTCGAGGGATCAAGGTTGAGCTGTAGCTTTCAGCCTTTTGGTTTTAGATTCTAGTGATTAGGGTTTATCCTTCAGGCTTTAGGCTACAGCGTCCAAGGTTTAGGCCTTATGGTTGAGGTCCTAGAATCTCCGCTTTATTGGTTAGGGTTCAGGGTTTATCAGCTAGGGTTCACGTTTCCGGGATTAGTTTTAGATGTCTGCTTGCAGGGGTCAGGGTTCACAGTTGGCGGGTCTGTGCCGATTGGGTAACGCTTAGGTACGTGGTACTCCTGTGTATGCTTCAGGGTTTAGGGTTCAGGTGTAAGGGTTACGTTTCATGTCCCAGGGTCTGGATTTGACGACTCATGCGTCAGTCTTTGAGGTTCAGTTTCGTGGGATTTTTGTTTAGCCTTTAGGCTTCAAGAATTACGCTGCATTCTCCCAGCTATTAGGACTGTGTCTTGAGTTTTAGTCCTCGGCGATTATCTGAGTAGGGGTTAGGTTCTATGATTTAGGGGTTTTGTCGCCTGTTCCTGTTGTTATTCCTTAGGTTTCAGGAGTTTATGTGTCTGGACTCATGTGCGATGACACTAGTTATCAGTGTTTAGATTCAGGGGTCAGGATTCAGGATGTGGGGTTCAGGTACTACGCTGCAAAATTCAGGGGTTTGGGCCCAGGCTGTGGAGTATTGATGTCTAGGCTTAGATTTAGTTCTCATGGCTCAGGGGTTCTGATTGATGGATGATTTCTTACTGTTCAGTGTTCAGTGCTATGGTTCTAGCATGGCCTTCAGTTGCGTTGTGCCAAGGATCAGGTTTCAGGTCGCACGATTTACAGCTGTGATTTCACTGTCCTGGTATTCTGTTTAGGATTTTCCTCTCCTCCTCCATTTCTCAGGGTTGACTTCCATCTCCTCCTTCCATGGTGGGTGACTCCACGGCTGCTTTGTCGGCCTCAGTAGTTAGGGTTGAGGGGCTGCTGTTCAGTCTCAGCGGTTAGTGGTTAGGCATTATTCTTTCGTCTGTAGGATTTGGTGGAGAGGAGGGACTCTTTCTTCTCTATCGTTCAGGCTTGTTGGGGTTGTGATTACGGCTCAGACTCCAGGGTTAAGGTTCCTTTTGTACGGCTTAGGATTCCTTTTGCCGTTGGGATGAGTTGTCATTTATTTGTCCCTTGGGATTCCTTAGTTGCTTCTATTTCCTCTGGACTTCCTAATCAAGATTTCTGATTTGTTATGATTCTGTTCCCTCCTATGCTCGATCTTAGTCTTTATTTCATTCCGTGAGTCTTTGTTTGGCTGAGGTGATTGATAATTGATTTGCTTCGATTTTTCAATCGTCTGGCTGCTTTTGGCTACCTCTAGAGGCTGTGGGATGGTCCCTGAGGTTGGAGTCCAGCCTTCTAGGATTGGGTTCTTGATTTCTTGGCGGTTGGGATGGATCCTTGACTCTCTAGTGTTTATTCTCGATTTTTGGCAACCGGTTGATATTGGGGAGGTGTCACTCTTCATTAGCCATGTTCCACTTGTTAGGTCCTTGGTTTTACGGGGTTTTGACACATCTGTTATTATTCCAGAGATTATGGTTTTGTTTATTAGGGGATAAGGTGGCAGCTCCCTGCTTCATTTTTGTTTGATCGACGGAGATGTTCTATGGCTCCAGATCGAAGCTATAGAGAGGTGTGGTTTTGGAGTCGCTTTCAATGTTTAGTTGTTGTTGTTTATTGCTCACTCTTTTCTGGGAGATTTTTTGCCCTTATTGTTAAGTCACGTTTGGTACTTTCTTTAGGGGCAACTTCCTAGTTTTCTCCATTGATCCTCTAGTCCCTAGCATCTACTGAGCCTCCTTACTCCTCTGCTGTTATAGCTCAGTCCCTTCTCGTTGGATGTTTGGGGGCTTGGGACTTGCATGTCTTATTTTTTAGGACTCGTTTCTTCTGGGGGGGGTCCACGATTCTTTTCTTCTTCGTATGATTGATTCTCAGTCTTCACTCCTAGTGGTTATATGCTAGAGTTAACATGGCAGCTATTATTTTTTAGTTTTGGCGTTGCAAGTTACCGCTTGGAGATTTAGATGACAGGCTCATTGTTCACTGGAGTGGCAACTGCTGATAAGTCGTAGGGACGTGCTCCATTTGGTTTGATTTACATTTTACGGTTTAAGTTCTATTGGGATCTGGTCCTGATTGATATTTTTTATCCTGATTTTTTATACTCTCAATTGCAATTTCTCACGGGTTTTTGACTACCTGTGACTTATGACTCAGAAACGTTGTTATTGCTT